GTTTTAAAAATGAGAGTTCCCTGCACAAGCTGTCTTAGCCTGCCACCACCAATGTAAGACATGACTTGCTCCTTTTTGCCTTCTGCCATGATTATGAGGCCTCCCCAATCACATGGAACTGCAAGTCAACTTAAATCTGTTTCTTCTGTTTCTTTTGTAAATGGCCCAGTCTTGCACATGTCTTTATCAGCAGTGTGAAAATGGACTGATGCAATGATGTTGATAGTTGAGAAGTATGGGTCAGGTATGTTGTAGAGTTTCCTTCAATTGAGATTTATCTGATGTTGTCTCTTGATTGGTTCATGGTTATGGGCTTTGGGGGTAAGATCACAGAGATGAAGTGCCATTCTCATCACATCATAGCAAGGGTACATACTGTCAACATGACTTATCACTGTTGATATTAATCTTGATCACCTGGGTGAGGTGGTAGTTTATCAGGTTTCTGCATTGTCAAGTTGGGATTTTACTACATAAGGAACTCAATATGTGTAGGCTATGCTTAGGGAATATGCAGCTATGCTTCACCTCCTGGAATGCAGAGTATCTACATAAATTACTTAAAACTATTCTTCACAGGAGATTTGCCCATTTTTCTGCATTCATTTACCCATCATTTAGTCATTTATTTATATCAGTATGGACTCGGATACTTATTTTATACTTTGAGTTACACTTCAGTAATACTTTAGTAATTTGGTTGCTCAAATTGTCCTACCATCACCTAGGACAACTGGCTGCAGTGTCCCTTTGACCTATGCCTATCACTTTGAGATTTTTTTTTTTTTTAGTAGGTGGGATCTTTTTTAATTTCTGGAACTATAAGGTCCTCCAGGCTCATCTTATTTATTCCCAGTCCAGCCCTAAAATCAGCCATTTCTCCAAGGAGCCCTCTAACCTTTTCATTAGAAAATGGTATTAAAAACTAAAATCTGAAGTGCTCATTGTAATGGGGGTGTTGTTGCTTCTAGGCCCTCTCAGCTGACAGAGCAAAGAAATATATGTGTGTATACTAGAGGTTCAAGTGATGGCATCTGGGCTCAAGTTTTCTCTTTCTCCACTTGGGTCTTACACGCTGACTCAATTCTTAGATAATTTCTTCATACTTGCAATGATGCTGTAGCAACTCCAGAACTAAGTCCCAAGGGGCAGAATAAGAATCTCCACAAATCTCCAAAAATTACCAAATCTAATTTGGCTCCTTTTAAGACACATGCCAACTTCAGTACTGACCACAGTAACCAAGAATAACGAGATATTCTTTTGGGTTAAACTGGGACATATGTTCCTTGCCAGAGACAAGAGGATTGACCCTGTTTGAACTACATGGGCTCAGAACATTAGAGAAATACATTTTCAAGTGGTTGTTAGTGAAAAAACGAAATATATATTCTGTATGTTTGAAATGATAATTTTATACCATAGCCAATTACTACTACTACTTCTGTGAATCCAGAAATCTAAAATTGGCTACCACTTACTGTGAAGTTTTGAAAGAAAATAAGATAGTTACTTTTATAAAAAGATGCATCAGTAAATGGCTTGGACTCTATCTATAGCAAATGAATGCTTGTAACTTCTGAAAATGGAATGGTACTTTACTATATTATTGCATGTGATTATTTTCTGCTTTAAATCTGCAAATGCAAAGAGTACATCCATTGTCACCTTCCTTTCTGGTTTTGCTTTTAAAAATAATTTCACTTTTACACAAATGGAGCATTTAGGCTGGGAGGAGATAAAATTTGTTGTCCTTTGTAGTTGTTGCTTTATTTTTACTGTCTCCATTGGTTTTCTTTATTCAACTTTTTCAGCAACACATTCAAAGGGAAAGTAGATAGTTTGCTGTTCATTCATCAAAATATTAAGGCACTTTTTTTTCTACTTCAAGGAAGTTTGTAAAGTATATTACAAAGGAAATACTATAGGATGGAAAGGCATTATAACACAATTACTGTGGTATGATGTTTTTGTTTTCTCTTAGCAAAGCTTTCACACTTCTTTTTAATTAAACTAGTTACTAACCGAATAAGAATTCAAATGTAACACATTTATTTTCAAATTTATTCCTTGAAAATCCATACTAGTTTTAAGATATTAGCAGTTCTCCTGAAAGGTTGCATCATGTTTTTATCTGACGGCAATTATTGGTTCTATTTATATTTGTTAAAATTATTTTTTGCTTTTATTTCGTTGCTTTTTAGACCATTGTAGAGACCAAAAGGTTTACAAAATAAAATGTTAATGTAGCTTCTAATTGGTACTTTAAAAACACACTGCTGTGTTTCAAATTGTAGTTGAACCACACGTATCTTGGGTGACTCCCAATTCTGAAATCCATGCAATGGATATAATCAAATCAGTAACTCTGAATTAAAACTTTGGCTACTTGAAAACTTTATAGAATTAGACTTACAGGTTTTTATTTTTTTTGAGGAGTGCAGTTAATGATACTTCTTTCAGTTACAAGTTTTCTTTTGTTGAACTCTTTGGAGAAGAATTTTTTTTTCCCATTTATCCTCTACTTTAAGCAGGGGATACAGGTCAGAATTTATTAATTTTGACTCTATTAAACTCTTTCCCTTGTTTGAGTGCTGAATGTTTCTGAAAATATTTAAGTTTTAAAGTGTTTCTGTATGTTTAAGTTTCTGATAAATATAATTACAATTGGGCTGGTATATTCATTCAACATTTTAAGCAAATTTTATTAACGATTACTTACTGAAAACCTTTGATATATCAGACATGGTAATAAGTGCTTTTTACATATTTCATTTACTCTTTATATTTTAGTAAGGTAGGTATTAAAATCTCTGGTTTACAGAACAGGATACTAAGGCTCAGAGAACTTAATTAAGGTGATACAGAAGAGACTGGAGACAAACATATCTGTAGAAGATGACATACTACATCCATAAAGCAATAAATGGATGAGCCATTGTAATGGACAAAAACAAATCAAACTACACAGCAATTGTTCTGAGAGACCCTCCTCCATGTCTTTTATATTCCTGCATGTCTTGTTGGATCTGCCAAAAATGTAAGGCCTTGACCACTCCTTACTCAGGTCATTTGTTAAGGCTGGATTTACAGGAAACAACTTGGAGAGATGAGGTAATGCCTTCTTCTGAAACAAAGAGCAGACTTTCTATAAAAGCAGCAGATTCTCCAATGTTAGAATTCTTCTCCTGTATTTTCAGCCTCCTGTGATTGTTCCTGGAATTTAATGAGTACTCAGGAAATGTCTGATGTGAGAAGTAAAGGACAAAAAGTAGGGTAGTAAAAGAATAGGTACCAGGAATGAATTATCTGACTATTATGTCTACTTGTAACCCTTGATTATTCTAAAAAATAAAACAAAATCAAACAAATGTAATAGAAATAACAGCTCACATTTCTTAGTGTCTTCTATGTTCCTGGTAAGTTCTTAATGCTTTATGTTGCTTTACCCTTTGCAACAGCACTTTGAGGTAGGTGATATTGTTGTCTTCATTTTACAAGTGATGAAACTAGGGCCTAGAGGGATTAAGTAGTAGTTTGCCCAATGTGTCATAGCTAGTAAGTGATGGAAGCAGGCTCTGAAAAGCTGTCTCTCTGGCTCTGACACCTGCACTCTCAAATACGTTCTTAGGAAGTTACTGCTGTCTTTTGGTAATAAATGGGAGCTTTTATAGGACCACTGGCTTCCAGTTTTCATCAAGAAATATAAAATGAAAAATAATACCATTAGACTTAGCAATCCTATTACTAGGTATATACCCAAAGGAATAGAAATTGTTCTACCATAAAGACACATGCACATGCATGTTCATTGCTATTCACAATAACAAAGACATGGAATCAACTTAAATGCCCATAAACGTACTGGATAAAGAAAATGTGGTACATATATACCATGGAATACTATGCAGCCATAAAAGAATGAGATCATATCCTCTCAGGGATGGAGCTGGAGGCCATTATCCTTAGCAAAGTTATGCAGGAACAGAAAACCAAATACTGAATGTTCTTACTTCTAAGTGGGAGCTAAATAATGAGAACAAATGGACACAAAGAGGGAACAACAGACACTGGGGCCTACTTGAAGAGGAAAGTGGGAGGAATGAGGAGATCAGGAAAAATAACTATTGGGCACTACATTTAGTACTTGGCTGACAAAATGAGCGGTACACCAAACTCTGCCACACGAGTTTACCTGCACATGTATCCCTGAACCTAAAATAAAAATTAAGGAAAAAAAAATATTTGCAAGGAAAGGGTCCTTGAATTTGCTTCTGATACATATGCGATATAACCTGAGGAAGATCCTCTCATAGCAATAGGACTACACATGATCGGGCAAGTGTCAACTATATACATTTGTTAGGACCAAATTTGTAGCGCATAATTTTCATGCAACCGTTTTTACCTTGGTGAGAATCAATTCTACAAATACTATTCCAAGTCTCAGTATACGGAATCGAACTCAAAACACATGTCCAGATAAATGCATTAAAGATCACAAGAAAGGGACTGACAAAGCTGAACGCCATAGTTCTTTATCGCTAAGTGTCTGAGCTGCGTCCGGTAGCTCCCCTGGGTCAGTCTCTCAATTATGATTTTTAGGACTTATTTTTTCATTAAAATTTTTTTTCAGGTGTTTAGAACTTCCCCTTTCTTTTTTTGTTCTTTTTTTTTTTTAAATGAATATAACTTATTTTATTACAGTAATTCAAAATAACTTCCCCTTTTCTAGTAGTTTTCACTGGAAACACTTGGCGATCTACAAACATCTGAAATTAGAGGACTGCTAATGGGCAAAAGAATCAAGAGAAAGGGAATTCAAAGACGACAATGAAGCGTGAAAGAAATGATAGGGTCAAAGCGAAAGAAAACCAAGCTGCCTAGATGGCAAGGGGCATTACAAGCCGTTCTTTGTATTTTCTCCGCTCTGAGAGCTGCGCCCCAGCTCTCGCGTTAACTAGGCAACAACGTTGCCACGGTAACCAGGAGGCGCGGGACGGCGCCAGCTCCTTGGACTCCCGGCAACCCTTCTGTGCGCGGGGCTGGTTCGCGGGGCGAGGGTGAGGGATTTCGGAATCTCGCGAGAGCTGCTTGGGGCCGTCGGGCAGCGTTTTGTCTGTTGCCCTTAGGGACCGCTGTGGGCCTGCTGGCCGCGGGGGACCGGAGCGCCAGAGATGGCTGCTCAGCGAGGGATGCCCAACTCCTCTCTGAGAGTCCTGGAAGAGGCGTTGGGCATGGGTTTGACGGCAACCGGGGACGCCAGGGACACGGCGGATGCGGTGGCCGCCGAGGGCGCCTACTACTTGGAGCGTATCCTTCCCGTGGAGGCACGGCTCGCCGCGCTGGCGGTTGATGGGTGTTGGGAGGAAGGCGAGGGCTTCCCACTGAGGGCGCTTTTGAGGCTTGGATCCACCGTGCTGGACGAGCCTGTGTTGGACGTCAAGGTGTTTGCCACCATGGTCTCCCTGAGAGCCGCTCACTGAATTCTCGCCCTTAGTGCAAAGTGTCCTGTACCTGCTGTTAGAAGAGTTGGGAGACCTTCCAAGGCCTCATAGTAACCGCTCAAATTTTGGATGGAGGCTTGCTTTTTATGTTAAGACAGCAGAAAAAATTGCTTCAACCTTCCTTTCAGATAATGGCTTTTCTAAATAAGCCCTCAGTCTTTCAGAAAGCCGTCGCAACAAATTAAACAGGGGAATGTTAAGAGACTAGGGAAAGACCTCTGCCACTGGACTTTAAGGAGCTGAAGCTCAGAATACCCAACCCATGGTCCTGTTCGATGGTCCAGTTATTGAGTGCTTAAATGCCTAGTTTCATAGCATCATCTTCCTGGGTAGTTTCAAGTTTGCCTAATTAATAATAGAATAGTTGCTTTTTTTCTTTTTTTTCCTTGAGCAAGTAAATAATGATCTGGTGAGGTATAAAGCTCGGAGATGTTAGGAAGAAAGCAGATAGTGATGAGCGATTTTTGTTGGAAGTCCCAGAAAAATTGAATAGCCATGTGTGGATAATTAGGTCCACTATTTCTTGTGTAATACTTTAGAACTCCCCTCCTCTAGTTATATAGATTAATTCCTACTAGGGAGACCGGTAGAGTTCCTGAGAAAAAGACGTCTAACTCCTTTATTCAGGCAGGTAAGAAAGAGATGATTATCTGTTCAAGGAAACTCTGCCTAATCTTATTTTTTTGATCAACTATAATCCTACCCAGTTTTAATCCAAGATTTTCGAAATCCAGCAATGATTCATTTTGTGAGCTTTGACAAGCCGATTAACCTGTCCTGACAGGCTCAGTACACATCCACACTACAGAGAGCTTTGAAGAATTTAGTTGAAAGATTAAAGAAAATAGGTAGTATTTTATTGGGTGCAAAAATGACTTTTACAGGAATAGAAATTCGAATCACTTGAATTCAACTTGTAAGAAATATATGGGTGCTTTAGTGTCATAAATGAGGTTTATACTGTTTTCATAGATCTAACAGGCTGTCTTTTCTAGTAATATTCCTCTTTAGGTTAAACAATGATTTTTCACAATTCTTTGGAAGCTTATCTATATCCAGTGTCCTTGCTACTGAATGGTAACCAGGCATCTTATCATTTGGTTTGCATTAAAATGATTTCCATGGAAAAAGTTTAATTGTTAACATGACATTGACACAATGAGGTAACTTTTTGCAAATATCTTTGTGAAATAGGAGTCTAACATAACACAACTTTCAGCAATGAAAATCAGGTTTACTTAATTTGCAAGGAGATCACTGAGTCACACCTGCCAAGATGTAGCAGTTTGCAAACCTGTCTTACAAAGACTTCTTCAAATAATCACACTTATTTGAACTTTAACACATATAAAGAACTGAAACTTTTTAGGATTTTACTATCCATTTTGTGAATTATTTGCTTTTCTTCTTTCTTTGACTACTATTTTGTATTTTAATGAAAAAGTAGTCAGGGGATACACAGTTAAAACGTTTAATCAATCAATTTTGCTATATACCATGCTGAGGGAAGAAGTTTAGTCATTTCAACTCTTAGTTGAAATTAAATTTGAGAATTACTTATGAATACCAGTTATCCCTGTATCCCTGGGCTCTCTTCACATGGGTAATTAAGAGATGCCTGTGTAATGTTATTTGACATTGTTTCTTAAGGCAATTATGATAGTTGCCAAAGTGAGACTTCATTTGGTTTAAAGTCTTTACTTTCGGGTAATTAAATTGAGCTACTGTGGTGGGTAAATAAAAGTTATAATATGCACAAATGAATCAGAAATCTGATGTCCTCTGCTTTGTACATATACTCAAGTCACTTCTAATCTACATTTGTCCTGGACTTACCCTTATTTATGACTGAACAGATGCTCCTAGTATATTAGACAATGAGCTAGCAATATCGAGCAAGAGTTTGAAAAAAGTTGAATTCTTTGGGAAATCTCTTACTTTTCTGCTTTTAAACACTCAAATGTGAAGAATATGGATTAACCTGTCCTGACTCTGGCTCAGTACACATCCACGCTGTAAATCCACTCTACATTACTAATGTCCCTACCAGAAACAGCCAGGATCCACCTTTGGTGGGTGGGGCATTAATAAAGGTACCATGTCCTTTATAATGGTTTAGACACTGTGTTCAGGAAAAAGAATTCTTACCTCTGCAACACCCCTTCCTTCTCTGTAATTGCCTAACTGTAACAGTGTCACCTATTTCTCTTCTAAGTAACCTCACAATATCTTTGCTTTTCTGTTTTAAACTTCAACAAGGTGAGATACAAACATACATGACATTGTTCTTTTCTTAGCTGTTGTCAGAATACTAAGCAATTGTGTTATGGAGTACATGAATCCTCTCTAGAACTCATCATTAGAAAAATATTTGCAGCATTCTAAAATACAAGGCGAGATTTTAGCTATGTGATATGTAAAGGCTCAAGTAGGTATCTCCAGAACTTAGAAGATTGGTTGTCTTTTGTGAATAAATCTATTATTAGAAATCAACACAACTTGGGTGAGGTTTTCAATTGTTGTAGTAGGGAGGGGCTACCTATTAATGTGTGACTGTGGACACTTAGGACTGCCCAGTTACAATTGAAGGCCAGAATGAATTTGTACTAGGAAAGCTAAAGGTTAATCGATTTTGTTATTTGTCTAAAGAGACTTTGTTCAAGGAAGAGTAATGGAATACATGGACCCTAGGAAAGTGGAGCCCTCGAGGTATTGTTTTTGTTACATACCTTCCTTTACATGGACACCTGGATCCTCTAGCTTTTTATATTTCCTCTCTGTAGGCATTCTAATACTAAGGATTTAGCTTTTTAGATGGCGGGTATAAGTTTACTGACCAATTAATAGGTCTCCTCTATCCCCAGCAACAATTTCAGAGAGTTGAGTAAGTTTGAGCCAGTTCTGTGAAGCTAATCAGCTCTGGATGGAGTCCCAAAGTCATTTCTTTCTGAAACTTCAAAATTCAGGACTCTAGATCCTGAAATATGGGTATCACACTAGACTGATGTCCTTATCTAAGATTCATGTTGTCTTTAAAAAATTTGTGAATTATGGCTGGGTGCACTGGCTCATGCCTGTAATCTCAGAACTTGGGAGGCCAAGGCAGGTGGATCATTAGGTCAGGAGGTCGAGACCATCCTGGCCAACTTGGTGAAACCCCATATCTACTAAAAATAAAAACATTAGCTGGGTGTGGCAGTGTGTACCTGTAATCCCAGCTACTTGGGAGGCTGAAGCAGGAGAATCACTTGAACCTGGGAAGCAGAGATTGTAGTGAGCCGAGATGAAACCACTGCACTTCAGCCTGGTGACAGTGAGACTCCATCTAATAGTAATTATAATAATAATTATTATTATTTTTTAGAGATGAGGTCTAGCTCTGCCACCAAGGCTGGAGTGCAGTGGTATGATGATCGCTCACTGCAGCTTCAAGCTCCTAGGCTTAAGGATCTTCCCACCTCAGCCTCCTGAGTAGCTCAGTCTACAGGTTTGCGGCTGTATGCCCAGCTAGTTTTTGTATTATTATTATTTTTTTTTGGTAGAGACAGGGGTCTCATTCCGTTTCTCAGATTGATCTCAAATTCCTGTGCTCAAGGCATCCTACTGCCTTGGTCTCCGAAAGTGCTGAAATTACAGACATGAGCCACTGTACCAGGCTACTGTCTCCTTAAGTAACATTTCCATCTAGCCTTTCACTGCAATAGTAATGTTCACTGATAACTTTAGTTAAAACTGAAGTTTTCCTTTTTTTGAATTTACTGTATGGTTTTTAACTTTTTTTTTTTAAAAAAACTAAACATTGTAGTTGAGTAAGTAAAAATAGAGAGATGGATGCATAGATTTCTTTATCTTTTCTCTTTTTTTAAAACTAACATTCCCTTAGATACATGTGTTTGCCATGTTTTCTTCTGTTATAACATGGTACTTCTGTGAAATGTTTGTAGTATTAAGTGAAAAGACATTTGTAAAATTCTTAATAATTATTATGAACTCTAATAGTGTATTTCTTATCATTGGAACTTAATTTGTGCATGGGTTCTTAGATATTAGAATATATATACCCTATGTATATTCAAATAAAAAGGATAGACAATTTGCATATACATAGACCAAGAACTATGTTGCTAAATCCAGAGTGTTGATTTTTACCTGTGTGAAAGTCATAGGCTATCTGGAGAGAAAAAATTGTGTTTTGTTCTGTGTCCTTTAGTGTAGTCAAAAATTAAGGTATGTATGACTCACCTGTGGATCTTTAAGTGACGATTCCAATTCAATAAGTGTGGGAAGGGGGCTGAGCTTCTGCATTGCTAAGAAGCTTCCTGGTGCTGCTGGTGTTGCTGGTCCAAGGACTGTAATTGAAGTAGGAAGTCTGTAGATTAATATCTTGAATTCTAGCCTTTACATTTTCAGATAGAGATACCACATGTAGAGCCCATATCTTTGGATCTCCCAACCTAGAAGTTGGAAAGACTTAACACCACCAGCTGCCGTTAACACTGAGTCTTATATGCTGAACAAAAGTTATTTTCCAGTTTTGGAGGTAGAAGATACACATTAGCCGTCTAGGACAGGGGTGGCCTATACATTTCCACTCTTGCCAATTCTATTGAATTGGTAGTAGCTCCCTGGTATAAGATATTAATAAGCATTCTGAGTCCTCATGAAGACTGTGTGGTAAAAACTGCAGGGAGTAATTGGCAAAAGGGAATGTGAACATAAGCATGCCAGATACCTTCCGTTTTTTTGTCTACATTACTCAGCTAACTTATTTAAATTGGCCTTCCTAAGGGAACAAGACTATGAAGT